GTCGGTGGACACGCTGGCGTGCTCACAACTGAAGATGGCTCGTTACTCATTAAGCCTGCGCTCCCGCTTGAATTGACATTCTACGAGAGCCTCCAGCGCGATGAGGCATTCGCACCTCTGCGTCCGTTTATTCCCAAGTTTCTGGGGACGCTGAAGCTAGAAGGAGAGGCGAAGGAGACTGCAGGAGAAGGAATTACTCTGGAGCCGGTGGAGGGGCATAAAGATGAGTATTCTTACTTGTATGTGAGTACTATGGGCTTACCTACGCGTTTTTACAGTCCCTAGTGCTCGAGAACCTATCCTTTCCTTACTCTAAGCCTAATATTCTGGATATAAAGCTGGGAACGGTGCTCTATGACGATAGCGCGTCAGCTGAGAAGGTGGCCCGCATGGTGAAGACTGCACAGGATACCACCAGTTTTGAAAGCGGTGTTCGCCTCACTGGATTCCAGGTGTGTATTCTTCTACGCAAGGAGCTTTCCACCTTACCTATAGATGGAAACGTAGGTACATGATAATACCACCGGCCTACCCGTTAATACGCCCAAAGCGTATGGCAAATCCATTAAAGTAGCTGACCTACCGGATGGAATCGCCCGCTTCTTCCCCATAGGCGTTCCTTCGATATCCTCACCAGACTCTCCTCCCACAGACCTCCCCACTCCAACTAATTCAGGACTCCCTGCGCATAACCTCCTTCCCATCCTCCAATCCCTCCGGGGCGACATCGCCGAGATCCGCGAGGCCTTCACATCTATACACATGCGCATGGTTGGAGCTAGTCTTCTCATTGTGTACGAGGCAGATTGGGATCTTGCTGACGCCGGTGTGAAGAAGTACTTATCGGAAGATGCTGAAGGTATGGACGAGGATGAGAGTGAGGAAGAGAGCGAGGATGAGGCTGAGGGTGCCCCAAAGAAGATACCGCCACCATATGTTGTCAAATTGATCGACTTCGCGCATACGAAGATCATGCCTGGGAAAGGACCAGATGAGGGTGTGCTGAGGGGAATAGATACTGTCCTTTCTCTCTTGGATGGCAGGATTGCGGAGGTGCAGGAGGCAATGAAGGCTTAGATTGTAGATGCAGGATGAACAATTTCTAATTCAGAATATGTACGCAATAATGTTTGACTTTACTGTATTAACTTTGGAATGAACTCTTGTGGATATCAATTCGCGCTGGTGACATTCGAATCGCTGGCAGTTTGCCAAGGCCGGGCACTGATTGCTCCTCAAATATTCTGCAGTTGAGGTACATAAATGCCGTTCATAATTCTCGATATTATCTCATATTTTTGTATAAGTATGACAAATAAGATAGAGCGAACAATGAAAAGACATTAATCGTGCTGGAATCTAGAGGACTATAAATAGATCGCTTCCATGTCGTGCATCAATGCATCACCGTTGGCTTCCGCCTTTTGATCCTCTTCCATTGTTGCCTTGTTTCGATTCCGAGAACCGTGTCATTGAAAAATACAACAACTACAGTAACCATTATAGCGCAGGCACTTTAACATGGAATGATGATCTCTGTCCCGCTACTGGGAAATGGGCAAAACAATGCATGTACCAGCATAGACGGTGTGTCAAAGTTCTTCGTCGTTTCAGAGACGGTTTTAAAGCTATATGTCCGGTTTAATGGTGGATCTATGCAGAGACTCTTGCTGCTGGATACGATTCATTCGGTGCTGGTCTAGGCTCGTGGATGTCCGAGGCTTGTGAGTTAATTTTGAATGACTATAATCCTCGACCAATAACTCTATTTTTCCTCTAGCGGAATATGACTACAAGCTCGCTATCTGACTCGCAGATCTTTTCCGGACTAATAATTTGCATTAGATAGTAATCCTACATCTTCCCTTGCCGCTGGCCACTTTACTCAGGTACTTTCTTTACCAATTTTGTTTGTACTGTACTTTTGTTGACGAGAGCGATACAAGGTTATGTACACCAAAGTCGTGTGCATGAGCGCGATCTACCATGCTAGAACAATATTCTCAGCCGCTACGAGGTTTCTCGTCTGTCGCTACAGCCCTGCAAGGAACGTTCCTGAGCGGTTTGCGTGAGTAGTCATTCGTCATTGATTACCGATCATAGTGTTCATATCTTCGTTGTATAGTACGAATGTTGAAAAATATCGTTGATGGTCTACGTGTAGGTCTCATCCCGCATACATCAAATGGTACTTGGTGAAACACGATAATCTATGCAGTCGTTGTGCTTGCTTATTTTATAGAAACGATATGACTCGTTGATTGATGGTAGAGTTCGTTGGTCAAAATTTCGAAAAACTATCGATCGGTGAATTACGCGTCAAGTTGCTAAACTTATAGGGTTTACGACTGCCTAGAATTAACCCTGAACGTGTCCAGCGCGCCCACCGAACAAGGCGACACCGTGCTTGATCATTTTTGTATCATGGTCCATTGAACCAAGTGTACGCTCACTATGATGCCGCATAACATCAAGTAGCTCCTGGAAACTTTGCACTTGTGAATTGTAATCTATTGTCCTCCAAATCTGGTTTCGGATTCTGATACTACATTCACAGTCGAAAATTCCGCGGGCGCTGTTTCTGGGTGAGATTAATTCTCGGCCGCGTCAACTTCCCGACGCGCCCAAGCCGGACAGCGATACTTTCCTAGCTTGAAGATATTTTGGTCTAAGCTTCTACCCAAACGGAGGCAGTGGATATCGTACACATTTATTTTTTGTCTCCTGTTTCAGTGGACGAGCGTCGTCGCATGGCCCTCTTCGTCTTTATATAAAAGCCAGTGAAATATCACTGAAAACATCAGCACATCTACAGCATCTACAATGCGTTTCCAAGCTTCTCTCCTCTCTACTATCGTTCTCGCTGCATTTGTAGCTGCATTGCCTCATGGATTCCAGGATGCGGATGCGGAATACGAGGATTCCAGCCTCACCGGATTTTCCGCCCTTCCTGAGGCTGGACAAGTTGTATTTGCCCCTATAGAATTCAGCGATGACCTTCTGGATTTCGATTTAAGCGACGATTCTGTCGACTCTGCGATGGTCGACGACTGGAAGACGGAAGTGGTCAAACAACACAATGCCTATCGCGCACACTATGGAGCATCGGCTTTGACATGGAGCGATCAGCTCTATGCAGGAACGAAGCAATGGGCGGATCAATGCAAATTTCAGCATAGGTGTGTAGTAATTTTATTCCCCGCGCGTCGTTCATTGGTTTTAATTATTAAATCTTTTTCAACTAGTAATGGCGGTGGTAAATATGGAGAAAATTTAGCTGCTGGAACAGGAAATGCATATGGATTTTCCAATGGTTTGAAGGATTGGATGGACGAGGCTGGTATGAGTATTTCGTTAGCATTTATACTATTCTTCCCATTCTGATAATCACTGTTGTGCAGCTAAATATGACTGTAATTTCATTCTTCATCTTCAAAGTATTAAAACGCTAATCTCTACTACTTGCAGACAACAAGCCAGGTTTCTCTTCGGGTACAGGACATTTCACTCAGGTATGAAAACGCTTGCATGCTGTTAGTACAATCTCATAAACTAATCCTTCTCCCGATTATCAGGTCGTATGGAAGAGCAGCAAACAGGTTGCTTGTGCTATTTCAAACTGCCGTGGTGGTACCATTTTCCAGCAGCCGTCCAAGTACCTCGTTTGCAGATATACACCACCAGGAAATTTTGCTGGTCGATATGCGTGCGTAGTATTCTTTTGTTGTGGAAGCTCATATTATTTACTTCGTCTATGCTAAATTTTATAGAGAGAATGTTGGAAGGTACCACTAGACTCATCAGTCAGTAATCGGTATTCAGTCAGCTTTGTATAGGATGTCTAATTAGTATTTACGGGTGTTGAGTTACTCGGTCTATAAATAGAACTGGATATGTAGGGTTTTATATAGAGCTTGAAATGTGTGTAACATTCATCAACGCCTCGTAAAGCGGAGACATTTGGTTAGGGCTCTAATCGTAGCCGTATATATACCGTTTACGGGTGCTTATTTGCAATGCAGGTAATGTACCGTCAGAGCTTTTGAAGCTCCCCTTGTCGGGATGGGTATCGTTCGGAAACTGCCGTCAAAAGTGGTACTATGAAGACGGCAACCCACGGCCCGTATACTGATGCATTTAGGCTTGACAATTCTCCTGCCTTCTATGTAAGGTCAATGGTAAGTGAGCATGAAAACGGCACTCACATTGAAATAAATCAATTTCTTACGATTTTGACGAGATCTAATGCCTTAGCATTTGTTAAGATGACATTGATAACTCAGGTAGATACTTGTAATATTCAATGATCTGGGTATGATGAATCATTATGCTCAGTAAAAAAAAAATCAGAAAAAATCAGTTATTAATCATACATAAGCCAATAAAATAAAGTGATTGAATTTTGACTGACGTAAATGTCGTTTCTCTAACATTTTGTAAGCCTGACCTCACTATGACTGTTCGACAGACTCACCACGCGCGACCAGCCGAAGAGTATCCCGTCTTAGCGCTTTACCCGCTCCCTCTACCACTCACGTCCGCCCTCCTTTTCCTCATTCGTACATTTCAATCACCGTCCCTTTTTCACTATATACACACTTTCTCCTACCTTTGTTGCCCTATCCTTACCACTGGCAACGAAGGTATGTATTCTACTTCATCTACAACGTTGTATCCGATCCTTACCACTGGCAACGAAGATATAATTGACCTATCACTTACGTCTGATTTAGTGAGGCTGCCGAGACACGACAGTCTTTCGCATTTCTGCTGGTCAAAATTCAATCACCCCATTTTATTGACATCTATACTATGACTAATAACTCAAATCACTTGTATATCGTATTATGCTCGTAATAACTTGCTCATGCTAGTTCTGGGAATTTTTTTTTTTTTTTTTTTTTTTTAATTTGCACTGGGGTTTAAAATTTTTTTTTTTTTTTTTTTTTTTTTTCCTTTACTTCCTCAGCAATGAACAAATTTAGAATGGCCAAAAATACTGCCCTCTGCAAGGCTCGAACTTGCGACCTCAGGATTATACGTAAGCCAATGCTTACTCACAGACAAGCTATGAGACCTGCGCTCTAGCCAACTGAGCCAAGAAGGCATATATAATGGCGTATTCAGTATTATACAGATATGACATTTAAATATCACTAAACCCACCACCCTCCTTAATTTGAATTCAATTTGAACTGGACAAGTAAAGTAAAAATCCTTCGAAAATACCCTTCGAAAATACCCTTCGAAAATATCCTGAACAGTGCGAGCAGTGATTCGATGGAAATGAGTATATCACAAATCACCAATGATACGAGCAACAGGAGATAATTTGAGTAGCAAATGGGGAGTGATTTTATGACCAGAGCATCGGATGCGCATTAGAGTAGAAAACCTGGAACCACAGGCTATAGAATTAATTAATTTAAATCCTGATTGACCGATTTTATAAGAACAACGCAGTATAGATCAATTGAGTATCCATAAGGGAATTCCAAACATCAAACGTGCAAAACAGTTCTTCGAATTTGCATGCACAAACATTTAAACACGTCAATCTTTTGTGATGGTGCAAATCAGCGCAAAACTTCCCCTTTTCTCTTTAGCTGGTCCCGACCTCCGCAACCGGCAGACTACAAAGTACAAACTACTTCCTTCGATATGCCACACTTCCGTCTCTCCAACCTGTGACCTACCACATTGAAATTACCTTTTTTCAAAAATTTCTACCCTTCTCGCAGTCCCTCCCAAGATACTCAGATACTCAACTCACTAACATTACTTTTATTTATGATGCAGTCATATCATCCTCATTTCTTGATTCGTTGAAAGACACTTGTGTGGAATTGAGGACTATCGAGATTGGAAACTGTTCCTCCCAATCTTTCCCTGATTTAGTCAAAAAAAATCAGAATTCGGAACGTTAAAAATTGAGCACCGAGTTTTACTATCAAAATCATTTTAATGGGCTCGAGCTGTAATCGAAGTTCGAACATACCTCCATTTTCAACCATGACGTAGAATATTTATCAATATAACTTGACATTATATATTGAAATCAGCGCATCAGAGTTAGAAACATCTTCTTGAATCAGATTATTATATAATTCTGTCAACACGTTGTTTTTACTCCCCCATACTTCAAATTGACGTCGGAGTGCAGCCGGAGATGCTAGTCAGCTGAACAGGGCAATTAACTTGCTTGAAAGTGATTTACCTGCGGTACGAGAGATGCTATGAGCTTATACTATTCAGAGTTCGTAACATGAGGCATACCAGGTGTTGAGGTCCCCTCCAGCTCTATAAAATGAAATTGTAAGAATACTGATCACAATGTCCTAAATATACGAACTATTGCCGTCTCCAATGACAGCTAGCCTGCAAATTAATTGGAAGCTGAGAGCACTGGGAATCGGTGGTAACAACTATACCTTGTCAGAAATCTCTTCAAAATGAGTAAATGCATATACACTAACCTCCGTATTGCCTACCCCAACCACCAGAAGGTGCATCGTATTGCGCCGTGCAGGCATTGAAATCTGTTAAGATGGTTTTTAACGGGGATACGAATGTTCGGTAGTAATACTAGTACACACCTCCGACGCCTCCGCCAGGGGTCTATAAGAATCAGAATCAAGATTAGTTCTCTGGACGCTCAAAGAAGAAGATACTTACATAAATATCGAAATCAATATCCGTGATCCCTATGACAATTCAGAGGGTTATAAGGACCAATTCAAGATGTACTCACCACCAGCATTGATGGCTTGAACAATCATAATCTTTCCTTTCGCTGCCCCCGAAGTCCACGTGAATTGATAGCACTTACAGCCTAGAATTTATCTGATTAGCGTATTCAAGTTCAGAAATATTACTTCCTCACATGTCGTGGTGGCAGTATTTCTGTTTCCTGCGAAGCCATATGAGAATGTGTTGTTCACGATAATCGGCTGATATGTCTAGCAGGAGAAAGCTTGACCGCCGTTGGTGAAGCAAGCATTTTGGGTACCAGATGCAGCAGGATCATTGGATTTATTGCAGGATTTGACCGGCCCACGGGCGCCGGCAGAAAGGTTGGAAGTGTATCCACAATCAGGCCCGCAGCTAAATACCATGTAAAGCGTTACAACAGTTTCTACGAGACTAAGGTCGAGAAACTAACCAATCCCATGTTGTTGTAGTAGTTCCGGCAGTTTGACCTTGAACGAGATCGAAAAGCGAAATAGCAGCGAAGAAAGCAAGCTTCAAAGGGAATATGGCAGGCCTCTGATTTTCTGGAGAGTAGAAAAATGCTTGCTGGGACATTTTAAACCATTATAATTCGCTAGGAAAATCATTGGGATATCCAACCTCCCATGCCAAAAATACTCCTTGAATAGACGTATATAGCTTTGAATAGAACATTAAAAATTGTTAGAAGTTCTTTCAATATCAGCAGACTCAACAACCATAAAACACACATACCACTTGATCTTTCGAACTCCAAATGCTTCTATTGGAGGCTTGGTGCACCGATTGTTCGCTAGAGCTAATATACACATTTCCAGAGTCAAATAACCGGATTCTCATTTGCGTGAGTCGTCAAACCATAGGTCAGGATAAAATTAAGCCACGAGTTACTTCTTCCAAGGAGCCGTCGTCACAGTAAAATAAATTGACATCCACCCATAGCTTCCGTTTAAACTCCCTGTAAATCGGTGAGAATGATGACATAGCAGCCCCGTATTCGATGGAACTGGACAAGTCGACGCCTATTCCAGAAGACGATTTTGACCCGCTCATACCCCGCACTTCTGCCGGTTACTACTCAATCCATTTCGAATATCATTTTGATGTCTCCTTCTACTGTGTCTGTAGAGACCAGCACGATGTACGTCAATCAAGGACAAGTTAATGGAACTCTCGAAGAAGTACCGACATTCAAAAGCTCTGATGCCCGCAAGGTGCACATCCATCGTATTTTCGTATTTTCTTTCGAATATCGGAGCTATTTAAAGCAGATCCTCCCATCAATCCCGGTCCAGTGGGGTGCCCATCCACTACCTTAAGAATAGGCCTCCGAGAAAGAACTTCCATTTTTGACGATGGTCTTCGCCATCATGGAAGTCTTGGTTTGACAGCTTCTTCCACGTGAATCCAGGTTGATATTGAGAAGGTCCGACGGTCCACTGGCTAATATTTCCAGCTGGTTTCTGGGAGACTACCTTCGAAACGCGCACTAATGGGCTTTAGAAGAGGAGCATTATTTGACACATACTGTAGCTCAACTACCTCTTCCGCTTCCGCAACTTTAGTTAAGTTTGGGGTTTATATGATTTTTGACGCTAAGACATCTTGGAAAGTCTGAAAGGGGACGGTGAAAGTAGTTTTACCGCTTGTTTCAGGACCGCAGTTGCTGACCTGGTCTCGTGAACCAGAGATTATCAGAAGCTGTTATTGAAAAATGCGCACTTCGGATAACTGGACGATGCACAATTAAATATAACTCGGAAGACGAGCAAGTGACCATCAGGAGAAGAGAAAATTTTCCGCAGCCTGCATATGATACGCAGAGTAGTTATCCAGTTAGGTGCAATAAGACAGCATGACGCGCATAGCAGTCAGAGTTCCATGGTAAAGGAGAAGATTATCCATCCGTGATATTACAAGCATCTTTGGATAAACCTCGCACTTGCTGTGGTCCGACCATAATCCAGAAATGGTTTCTCGAAGAGTCCTAAAACTATGCGGTGGTACCCTGCAAATCTCGAGATATGCTCTAAATAGTAGAATGTTTTCCGTAAACCCCATAGGCTCGTTACTACAATGATTGAGATGTAACGTCGTCTGAATGACATGAAATATATTTGCAATCGAAGAAAAGATATTAACGCAAGTACCCAAAACAAGAGATTGTAAACTTGGTTGATAGAGAGGTCTTCGCAACAAGCATGAAGAATCCGTTGAACTGGTACCTATGGCACATCCTTGTAGTGCGGAGGCATCTATGTATGAGCGGCATATGCTCAACAGCTTGCCGTTTCAGCAAGAACCGAAGATAATAAATGGATTCACTGGTGCAGCGTCGTCGTCCAAAAATTTCAGAATAGTAGGCATAAGCTGGAAAGCTTCAAGTTGAGGCTTGACATACCTCGCGATTCTTCATCCTTTTCCCTCTCGAGTTGTAATAGTTGAAGCTGAGTATACACCCGTTTGTTACATATAAGACTTATAGTGAAATAAGAATCTGGAATCATGCCTGAACGGACACGAAGGACGTCATTGGGTTTGCCGTAAGTTGCCGTCGTCACTGGGTATTCGAAAATAGAGCTCACCCTCCAAGCCATACGTATATATCTACTCCACATCATAGAAGAAGTCTAGCATGGAGCAGAAAAGATGATGGAAACCATTGGGAGTGTAGACTTTGTTCAACCGTAGTCTTGCCTTGGTGTCGCCGAGCAGAAAATTGCCAAGGGGGCCAAGCTTTGGTCGTGCATTTTTCCAATAATTTCCATACATAAGCGTCCACACTGAGACTTGCTCCCGAGTCTTGACCATCATCATCAACTTCTGCTATATCCTCAGCGACTTGCACATCGATGGCATTCTTGCTTTATAATATCTGCGCTCGACGATGGACCTGCGAACGCCCAGGCAGTTGCGATTATATCTGAAGGAACAACTCACCTCAGGCTGATAATTCAACCGACCTGTATGATTGATATAGTGAAGCCTGGTCTATCTCGTTGGTAGAGAGCAGAGAGGCCCGTCGATGTCGAGCTTGAATCTAAGAGCAACCTGTTTGGCCTGTCCGTTCTGGCATTCCCATGTTTACCCCTTGCTCACAAGATCGCCTCAATTCAATTACCGCGTGATCATCGAATCATAAACACCCGTACATTCCAGGCCTCGCTCATCCGTCCAACGCTGGTTAAACAACCTTTATCTCGAGTATAGTCTGCAGATCCGACATTTCTGCTTCCTCGTATCATCATCGCGAGGCTTAGTGTTTCGAAACTCGGTTGGAGAATGGGTGACAGGGACTGTCAAAACGGGTTTCAATACTCATTTTGATATTCTACGACCTTTGACAACACTCTTTTCATCTATCCGACCAGGGAATCC